GATATAATCGTGTAAAGTTTGCTTATCATTTTCGCATAAATTATGACCTAAATTTGGAAACCGCTGAATTTCTCGAATTGGGTCTTTGCGATTTTAGTGAAACTCTGTTCAGCGCAAGGCACTAATGCGTACTATGTGTAGCCGAGAGATTTTCACGAAAAAATGCCGGCAACAGCAGATTTTCGACTCAGACCTCAAAGGGGCGTGGCATTTTAACCACGTGACATTTACTCCGATCGCCAAAAATTTTATGATATATTGTAGATTGATCTATATATTATCCATTCTATGTGTTAGACTTACGATAAAAGTAAAGGTGGGGATACCAGAGAGCTTCAAAGTAGGATGGTACCCCCCCAAAAAAAACTGGGTCGAGTCACCTTAAAAGTAACAGGTTTTTCGCATTTAACCCCTAACTATAAATAGACACAATTGAGCATTACCTGCAAATACTGCCCGAAATTACTGGCAAGACAACGACCAGAGCCACTGCAAGAAGGCGAAACATCGTTACTCCTCACGTTACGTTAATTCAAATGGTGAAAAATATACTGAAACGGGAGCTGAAAAGTAAAAAACAAAACAAAAAGAAAAAGAAAGCAGATTAACAGAAGCTGCTAAAAGAAATTTTAGTTAAAACTAAAGATTAACAGATGGATTACACATGTAACTGTCTGAGTTATACACCTTTCTTTTTTAAAAGCAATCGGAGAGTCGCCAAAATTACTTCTGTTGGGAACAGACAACAGGGACCTTAAGCATTGACGACGAATGGGACGACGACGACCTACCGGAAGTAGCCGAGGCGACTTGAACGCTATTGCACATGCTCGGCTCGTCGTCCACATTTGTCGAGAACGTGAAAACCCGTCGTTTGGCGTCCAGCAGTGAACGTGAGTAAACCTACTCGTAAATTTCACCTCAATTGCGTATTCGACTTTCAACGTATTTGTTCTTTGTATTTTTGTACTAGAAACACTCGGCAGAAAATCGATTCATATACGTCTTCATAAACAAGCACCACCGAGTCCCATTGAAACTTTCTTGTTTGTGTTTTCCAGCTTCTCACGAAGCAAAAAGGTTTACAGATCAAAAAGATCCTAAATCATAACCTGTTCCGCCCTTTTTTTCTTTACTTGTGAGTGGCCTTGATTATCCAAAATTCAAAGTCAGTAAAAGATCCATAAGAGACAGACTGACCTTGCTGATTACCAAGCATAAAGCGAAAATACGCCAAGAGGAAAATGCCACTGGAATCGCTTGCGAAGAGACCGAACTAGACCAGGCTGTCGAAGAGATAATTGACTGGAGAAGTTGGCCGACGAAAAAATCTCGGAGGTAAAGAAAAAAGAAAAGGAAGAAGGAGCAGCTCGAGGGGAACCGGCAGGCAAAGCGCTATGGAACTTTTAGGGCAGACCGTTAAAAGACATTTTGAACACTTCGACCATTCGCATTTCCTTTGTTCACATGGGAAACTCGCCGTCCACAGAAAGCGAGCGCTTAACTCTCGAATTTTTCCGCCGTGAACGACGTTCTCGACCCAGTCCTTTCACGGTGCATTTCGTCGTCGTCGATGCTTAAGGATCCCTAACAACTTCAACTCGACGCGTAAAATGTGTTAGCTTCAGATATCGGCTGACTTTGAAAAAGGCCCCTAATGTTTTGAATAATTTTAAATTCTTTGTTTTTGTTCCGCATTGTTAAAAACTTTGCCAAGGTTTCAAGCTTTGTCAAGAGCCTTGTTTCGTTCTCGAGAGACAGGACTAGACTATTGTCTCTCGAGATGAGACGCTCGTCTCGCGAGAAACGAGACGAGACTGGTAACTTACTTTTGGACGGTACTGTACTGCTATGCAACAATCTTTCACCAAAAGTTGACCCTGTCACGTTTTACAACTGTAAAACGACAATAATTTTTGGAATTTCCGGTTAGATCAAATAAGTCACGTTATGCTGTCATGCTTTATTTTGGGAGCAGGGAGCCTGAGGGTAGAGGATGCTCTGTGGAAATGCTTGATCCAGTTAAAAACTGAGTGCCAATCATTTCTTGTTTCAAAAGGCTAATTTGTCCATTTTTATCCTTATAGGTAGAAGTTACTACACATTCCCGACTTAAAAATGGTACCAACTTTTCTTGACGTAAGCGAGCGAAACCAATATCTTGCAAACTCCATTCTTGCATGGAGTTCATATTTTACGTCACTATTCATAACTGTTCAGAACTAATTTAACCTAGGCGATCATGCAACTTCAAATGACAGTAGCTATACACTCAAGCTGGAAAATAGCGTAATTATATATAATCTAATCATACTTCCCAAAATATTAAACCTCTGCATGACGCATTCACCCATTATCGGGGGAGTCTTGTTAATAATTTTAACCCATTCAAAACTGTCATTATTTGAAAAGGGTACAATGTAACACCCAAACGTGACGATGAAAACAGACGGTGTCTATAAGTCGGCTCTACGTTATTTTGATAGTTTGTGACTCGGGACACAGAAAAGTGCCCAGGTCCGTTACAAACCGTCCTTCCGCACCCTCAGTCACGGATTTGACACTCTTGGCCAAGCGCTCGATCTCGATCTCTCACGCCCGATAATCGCTCGATCTCGACGATCTTACAGAAGAACAGGGGGATGTGGACAGTCTACCGGTAGCTTCCGGTATCCATATTAAACGGATTAATTTTAGAGAAAAGATTAGCCTGAGTATCAGGCCTTCCTAATGGGTTAGAGGAGAGGAGATTTTGGATGGAGAGGGGGGGAGGGGGAAGGAGAGAGAGGAAGGCCTGACCCAAAACCATTCAGCCAACCGTGTGACAAATTCAAAATCTGGATGTGGCAGTGATGGATAACACACAGTAGCCTCTGACGTCACCGACCGAAAGTAAATACGAGCTGAGCGATGTATCTTCTTTTATTGTCCCCCTTTTATATTTTCTCCAGTAACCTAGGACACTTGGTGAAATAAACGGACAAACATCACGTTCCTGAAACCCACACGGTAAGTTCAACTGAAAGAGGGATAAAGGTCATAAAGGAAGAGCTTAAACTGAGGAGCAGAAAGCACGTTCAGCACAATCAAAGGCTCCCAGGAGCGAGCTCATGGATGAATTGAATTAGTGTAGAAAAGACAGTTCAATAATCAAAGAAAAACATATAAATCTTTTTGAACGGTTCATTGTGTACGGACTTGCCAAAATACAGCGTCACTCGAAGTATCCGATTGCATGTGTACCTGAATATTCTAGAAACTTTTTATCAGCGCAACATTTCTACTTACAAAGCAAAGATCACTTTTAAAAGCAATTATTAACGCTTTTTAGTTGTAAAATAGTTTGCTTTCTCATGTGACTGTCAAACACTTTCCGAACGACAGTGCACTTTCTTGCCAAGTTTTGCATACACGAGTTTTATTTAAACCGTGGTTTTTTAAAGTGTAATTAATGCTTTCAAATAAATGTTTCCATATGATGAGTACGTAACGGTTAGTATATGCAGTACGAGCTATATTAAATACAGAATACAGGCGTTTATGGCTGAATTGAACTGGTTTAGAACGCGCTTTTGATAAACACGAGGTAAAAATTATTTTAATACATGTAAAACGGATTAAGCTCAAAGCAGTACGTGCTCTGACCTAGCCAAGTAATTTAAACGCAGTCAAAGTATCCGATTGCCTTTCGCCAGAGACTTGTTTATACCAGCGCAGCATTTGTTGTAGAAATTACATTCATAGCACTGCTAAATGGAATCACCGACAAACAAAAGCCTACTTTAAGGCAAAGATCACCTAAGAATTCAAGCAAAATAGCGTAACGCTTGTTGGTTCTAAAACCTGTGCTTCTAGTTGACACAACATTAATTCATTCCCTGTTTGCATACGAAGACAAATGGTAGAACGGATTCGTCCAAATAACTGAATAAACCTCAATAGATACTCCTTAATGTCACTTTAACAATTCGAGGACAGTTTTTTTGCAGTGATTATAAGGCTCTTTGGCTTATTCGCTTTTCGCTGAACGAAATCCCATCGTCAGGCTGCAATAGCTCTTTCACGCTCCTGTTGATCGCATCTTCTCCATATTAAGTACAATATCGGGAACAAATGTGCACAATTCGTCCAATGATCCACGCTCAATTATTTCAATGGCCTTTTAACAATTCTAAGTCCATTTCTTGCGGATGATATTATCAGTGTTCTTTAAAATATTGTTATTTATACAAAACCAATCTCTATAATTGATGTGTCGGGAAAAAAATTCGCCTTACTAGTACCCTCTAGAATATTCCAAACATATACCTAAAAGGCACTTGGAAAAAAGGTAATACTAAGTAAGGGAGGTAGGAGTAACGTGTTACGTGTTAGTGAGTGAGTGAGTGAGTGAGTGGGTGGGTGGGTGGGTGGGTGAGTGAGTGAGTGAGTGAGTGAGTGAGTGAGTGAGTGAGTGATCGAGTGCCATTCGAGTGCCTCCAAAAGCCCATGGCATGACTACGTCATCCATGAGCTAAAAACAAGAAATTAGGAAGTGTGCAACGACGGCAAAAAAAAATGTACATAAAAGCGCGATGTATATCTACCTGTATTTATAAAAACCAGGTTAGCAAACATTTTGTACTAGTTGGTTTTCTATATGGTACATGAAAACGTTAGCCAATAGTGGGCCCAGCAGTGAGCCCATTGCTACACCATCCGTTTGTTCATACAATTCGCCGTTGAATCGAAATAGCTGGTTCATAGTAGCGATTTCCAATAGATCCGTCAAATGATGGTTTTCGAGTTGCATGCTATGCGTCTTATTGAACCAGTCACCCTCGAAAGCTTTGTCGACGAGAATGTCAATAGTTTCTTTTAAAGGAACATTGGTGAATAATGCGGATACATCATAGGAGACAAGGATATGGTTAGGCTGGATGCTAGTGTTTTTAATCTCGTCAATAAAACCAAAAATATCGTTGATACAGTAATTGTTGGTTGATAACGGCTTCAATTTTTCATCCAGCCATTTCGCCAGAGGGTAGTTGTACGTGCCAGAGGCTTATAAGATGGGTCTCATGCACAGTCTTTCTTTGTGTACGTGTTTTGGGGAGGCCATACAGGTGCGCAAGTCTGGAACCTTTAGGGCAAAGTTGTTCGGCCGTGGCTTTTGGAAGAATCTTGTGTACCTTCTCATGTAGCTGTTTTTCTTTCTCTAGGAGAGGGTGGAAATGTTTCGGAGGTCTTCCTCTGGTTTTTGGACGGTGTAGAGTCGTTGATCAAGGCCTCACTTAGTAGACGAAGGTACTGGTCTCTGTCCATCACGACAACACCAGAGCCTTTGTGTTTGTCTTTGTCTTTTAAGGTTGTTGAGGGCTCTCAGCAGTGCTTTAGAAGGAGTACGGCCTTTCTTTGCGATGTAGTGAAGTGCGATTGAAGGCAAGGTGGCGGATGCCACATCTTTTTTCTTGGGATCTTTAATGAGAGGATCTAATCTCCAAATCGCTTTTTCGAAGCTGGCTTGAATATCTTTGCTGTAGCAGTGCTGAGGAAGAGAAAATTTGAGACCTCTGCATAAGATTGACTTCTCGAAGAAAGATAAATGACACGACGAAATGTTGTTTCTGTGTTCGTCTGTGTCAATGTCCTTGGATATTAATCGAGAAAGTTTCTTGGTGTGACACTTTATCAACTCTTGAAACTGTGTTTTTCTCAGCGATCGAAGTATTTTGATGATGACAACACATTTGAATACCGAGCAAGTTTCCCGTAGGTCGCGAAGGTTGTTGGTGAAGTCTTCCTTCAGTTGTTTGAGCTGGGACTATTTGCCTTTCAACTCCTCTTCATCGATTTCTCTTTAGAAGTTAGAAGCAGATTTCTTCCACTTGTTGGATCTTGTAGCATCGACTTTCGCGAGCAACCAGGTAAAAAGTCTACCGCAGCGTCAGAGAAAAAGAGGGTATTATTACAGGGAATTGGCCTTTATCGGCAACATGTTTTGCAAACAGTGACATCTCTGCGTTTTGTTTCACTACTATTTCGAGCGCACGACCTCCTGAAAATCGCAAATATTAATCCCCAACAAGAAAATCGGATTTTCCCCATGGAAAAATATTAGTTCTCGCAAACATGTTTCTACGGGAGTTTTATTTTGTAATCCGCATAATAAAACTCTCACAAAAACTTCATACCACGCGGTATTTTAGTATAGAATTCAATAATTTAAGGACCTTACTGTTCGGCTGGCGTTCACCAACAACAGGGGTAGTTCCATATCTAGCTGCTGCTGGGCTGATAAAGAATAATTTTCTGTTTTGCCGCTGATTTTGGCGAGGCTTTACAGTTTTTGGACCGAACTTCCTGAGCTGGCTGCTCGTTTAGGCCAAGAAACCAATAACGTTTTTCTAAAAGTGTCCGATGCTCCTAGTGTCTCGCCTTGTGGGGAGTCTTTCGATTGGTCTTTTTTCACCCGTTGGAAAAATACTAACAATCCGTCTAACAACAGCTTTCAATACTGACATCGATTAACTCATATGTACACTGGATGCATGGCGAAATTGGAGATCTAAAAACAAAGAGCTGTCAACTCGTCCTACAAAACTCCGGCCGAGTGAGTTCAGGTAAGACTTCTGTCGATCCTGAAAAGGCGCTTGGCCTAACGTGCGTAAGGAGTCAAAGTAGCAGCGAAATAAAAAACGCAGCCAGTCATAAGGTAGTTTAGCACAAATCTAGGAAACAGTTTCTTATACGGTTAACTTCTTTTACCCTGTTACGGTTAACGGTTAAAATTTTTCAATTTTTACGGCTTGTTACGCCGCAAAATGCAATAATCGCCGCAAAATGTAATATTAACGCAAAATGTAAAAAGAATCGCCGCAAAATGTAATACTAACGCAAAATGTAATAACATTGACGCAAAATGTAATAAAATTTTCAACGCAAAATGTAATAATCTTTCAACGCAAATTGTAGTAACTTTTCTAACGAATAATGTAATAACGCAAAATGTAATAATTTCGGAAATAACGACGTGCATGCTATTTCAAAATCGGTATTGTGGCTCAGTAATCAGTAGCTGATCCAGATCTTCATGTGAATTATTATCATTATTATTATTATCAATATTGATATTAATAATAGTAATAATATTTATTTTCTTTTTCTCTTCCTTTTTATTATTATTATTAATGAAATAACGGTTGAAACGTCGTGTTACTTCCGAGCTGAGCTAGTCTCCCTCGCAGCCGTGCTTTCTCTCGTCACGCAACACTCTTCCCCAACAAAGGAGAAGGAGCGTTGTGTGACGAGACAAAAATGGCTGCAAGAGCTTGCTGTACTGTACCACAACTGTAGCAACTGAGAGACTTGGTTTAATTTCAGGTGTTGAATTTAATTCAGTCAAATTAAATAGATGTTGTCGAAAACAAGTAGCAGAATCAACTTTCAAAGCATAATTCAAATGAATTTAAAATATAAGATATCTATCACACTTTTTTTCATGAGAACCAGACAACTCTGGCTGTAGCTTACTTTTCCTAAGTTCTCACTTAATAGAGGCTGAATTGTTCTAAATGCTGTTTTTCAGGTCCAAGTTTCTTTTATGTTGAAGTTTCCAAGCTTTGCAAAGTCAAATCAGTTTGCCTAGAACAGATAGCGCAAAACTTTTTTAGTTAGCCAAGTAACGCATTTTTTATTGGAGTACAGCTAAGCTGATACACAAAAACATTGAATTTGCCTGGCAAGGCAGTTGTGATTAGAAGACAGGCCATCCTCTTTTTTTTCTCCGTTTAGCGTCGTCCGACCGGCCCAAATTTTTGGCATTTTCAAAAACAAAGTAACGACGTAGTTAAACCATTTTTCACTTGAAATAATTCTTTCAATCTGAAAAATGAGCATAGTAACAGCATAGAGAAAAACAGGAACAAAGACATAAACATTTTTTACAGTATATTGTGTGTTTTGTTAATCCAAATATCTGAATGTTAACTTTTAACGTCGTCCTGGGGTACCAGGGCCTACTATTGCGAGACTTCTTGTGATTTTGTTTTTCAGGGTTTTTTTTTTTCAATCCGACCGACCGACTCAATATCAGGAAACGCATTCGACGCTAAACGAAACCTTGAATTTCGAGTCGTTGCGTTAGCGGTAACCGAATCTCAACTGCCGTGGTTTAGAACTTGACCCTCTAGGTATTTTTCACCGCAATTTCGTCTTTTTAGGGCCGACCATTTTTGACCACTTGAGGGGGGAGGGTGTATGGGTAATTGGTTTGGGCTAGAATTTTTGGATAACTATGGGAAACTGTCCACATACCCCCCCCCTAAGCCAACATTAACACTTATTTCTCACTTAGGACGAAATGTTGGCTTAGGGGACGGCTAGGTGGGCACTGTATTGGGACCTGTATTACGTTAAAATCAGCGGAAACAAACGTCCCATTTGGTTCCCTAAAGATGATTACATCTCCTCATTTCAACTGTTTCATTGTAATATTAGCAATAATAATAATAATAATAATAATAATAATAATAATAATAATAATAATAATAAATAGTAATAGTAATATTAATATTATTAATAATATTAATATTAATATTAATATCAATAATAATAATAGCTTATAATTTAATTGAAGATCTGAATTCGTTACTACCGATGACTGAGCAACAATACCGATTTTGAAATAACATACACGTCATTATTCGGAAATTATTACATTTTGCGTTATTACATTATGCGTTACAAAAGTTATTACAATTTGCGTTGAAAGATTATTACACTCTGCGTTAAAAATTTTATTACATTTTACGTCAATGTTATTACATTTTGCGTTAATATTACATTTTGCGTCGATTATTTCATTTTGCGGCGTAACACGGCTATTGACTAAATTTTTGGCCGTTTTATACGCCTATCGGTTAACACCATTGAGATCCTCTTATGGGGGTCTTATTAGTAATTTTGACCCATAGAAATCTCTCCTTATTTGAAAAGGGTACAATGAGTCTACAATTAGCACACAGCTGTGACAATGGAGTAAGGCGGGTCAACATTACTTTGAGGCTCTGTGACTCGGGACAGAGAAAAGTGCCCAGATCCGTTACAAACCGTTCCTACGCCCTCTAAGTAGATTTCACACTTGCTAGGGGAGCTCGTATTTAGTCCCCTGTGCAAAGATTTTTCGTAGTAAACTGATTTAAGGCGTTCGTTCCAGTGGATTTTCCCTAAATTGTTCATGTCAAAAGTTGAAAAAAAAAAAAAGAAAAAACATGGAAAGGTCTATTATCGGCGAGTTCTAAGAGCAACTTAGCTGCGTTAAGGCTTTTCAGCTGACAGTTGGCAATGAATAAGTGTCCTGATCAGCGAGGTTCATTTCAGTTCTAATAGATATTTGTTGAGTGGACATTATTTAGAGGGTGTTCGTTAAAACTAGGTTTGACTGTAGTTTCCCTTATTTCACTACCATAGAATGCCCCCATCTGCTTCATTTTAAATTTTAGCTTCTTAAAGCATTAAAAACTACAGTTTTACCTCCACCCACTTCACTCAAATTTACGACGGATAGCCCAGGGATATCACCTTCCTGCTCCGGCTATGTCCCACTGTTATCAAACTTTTACAAAATGACTCAATATATCTTGCAGTTTCAATATATCTTTCTGTGACTGATCTGATTACTAATACACATGTCTTCTCAACAAGACTACTTACTTCTTTTCACACCAATTGCTATAATGAAGCTTATATAGTTGTGTTGACTGTTCAACGGTGTTGAATCGTAATTAGAATTAAATGAAGGTGTCCGTCATCGCTGAATTGACAAAGTACCAGTATTTGAACAATAAGGAACATGGCAACATAACAGCTTGCAATGCTTCCACTTCTAAGAAAGAGTGCAGTGGTTGGCTAGGATCCAACCTAAACAAAAAAAGTATTCTGGAGTACCTTAAAGGGGCTGTGTCACGGCAGTCCAGTTCATTTTGTTGTATTTTGCTAATTACTCGCCCTCAATCGCTATGGAACTTAAAGTAGGCAAAGAAATTAAATGTAAATGACAAAATCAGAGATAAGAGACAAGCAAATATGTCCCCTAAGCATTATTTTTGAAGCTGCAAACAGCAGAGAAAAACTTTGAAAACTGTCACAGGACGAAATAACGTGTTTCCGTATTTTGTAAACTCGACTGAAACGTGAAGTTGCTTAAATCCGTCTCGTTTCCGCCCTGCGGAAACATGGTGATCTAGTTTTCCATGGACGGGACGCGTTTCTGTCATGTTTCCGCCACATTTCTGTTATCACATTTCCGTTTTTTCTTGTTTCCATTACGTTTCCGGTGTCCCATGTCCAAGATCGCATGATAAATGTGTCAGAAATTTTGGCTTTGCGCACAGTCAAGGCTGAACAGTTTTCAAAAACCCTAATTTCAATCCGTTTCAATCTTTTTCAGTTTTGCCCATCCGTGGCAGCTGTTGTATCTGTTGTGTTATTTTAACCTTCCTTTAATGTTTTACGCGGCTATTTTTATGTTTCTTTTAATTTAAGGGGCATTTTGCAATAACCTGTCAAAACCTGATTTGGCTGAATCTGGTGACATAGCTCCTTTAACTCTGCTCAAACACATGTCTATTGAACTCTTACCGGTCGTTTTCCCTAGTATGTGTTAACTTGCCTAACACTTTGAGGACTTTGTTTGATGCCACTCAGCTATGTATCACGGTCTAGTCGCTTAAATTTTTCACTGGATAAAGTAAAGAAGTGTGAAGTGTAACTGGTGTAAAATATTCATTTGTGAAAATAAGGGATTGACTGAGATATTCAGAA